TCCTTCAAAAAGAACCCACAAAAAACATGAGACCATGGAAAAAACTAATGTCTAGAATATAGAGAAGGCATACAGTAGAATAGCATATAATTATGGCATTCAACACTTGACGACAAGTCAAATCTCATAGAGGAGCACACACTGCCAAGCCAATATTTTGGCCAGTATCAACAATTCAAGTGGACTACATTAAACGCCCACAATTAAACATCACGACTCTTATTGCTGGTTTTTTTAATTTTAAGCAAATAGCATCAATACACTTTAAAACATCAAAGAATGTTGGTAGATCTTAATACCCCTTTTCAGCATAAAATGGCATTTTAGTATGCCAACTGTTTGAAATTTTTCTTTTGGGATTCGATTATTCAGACTATACTAGGGTTTAGAAAAGGCATGCTGGAGTCAACTGTCATCCTCAACTAATAAAAGAAAATCCTGGGAATGATTCATACTGGATGCCTAAATACTGATAATTGAAATGAGTTACATAAAATCTTCTTGGGTCGAGAATAAGCATGAACAATCACAAGGTACAAGTAAATACGAATTAGAGTCTCCGATAAAAAAACTAAGGAAATTTTCCATAATGCCAGTGAGTATCCCGTCATAACATCGGTATGGCAAAAAATGCATTATCATGTTAAGTTAGATATGGAAAGAGGAGCCAAATGTGATAATAAAGAAAATAAATAGTGAACAAGAGAAGACATGATGTCAATGAAGAATTGAACTTCGAGAAATGACAAATCAAATGAATCAGCAACACAATCCAATTCGGTAGGATCAATCCAAAGATTCTTCTGCTTATTTCAAGCTATAGGATTACACTTTCCACATTAAGATTCGCATCAGCACCTCATTCCCCATATCGTGCCACGGAATTAACCATTGTAAAAAGGCATCACAAAATGCAGGCACACCGGTCAGGAGTCGGCACACCAACGGCCACGGCAAATGACCACGAACCGCACGACTGACCCCATGCAAGCCCCTAGCCCAGCATTAACCCATCACACACCCTTTAAGATTACCAACACACGCCCAACTCATTCCACCAACAAACATCACGTCCTCAAAGGATTGACTCCCCCAGTCACCATCCAGGACTCAACATAAGCACGAATTACAGAAGCGCACGCTCTGCCAACCTCCTCTACACTCTTCCAAACACTCCCTTTTCCTGCAAAGATTTCCCTTTTTTCCTAACCCAACCCCAGAGCTAATCTGGGTCCCCGAGAAACAGCATTTCCAGACAACAAAAAACAGCCCATCAACCCCAAGGCCGAATCGCCGCGCACGCAACCCGGCACGGCACGTTCAGGACCCCATTACCCAGAACGTCCCCAACCTCCGGGACAACCACATCAAACTCGGGTTCACAGACAAAGCAGCCGACGATGACATTGAGGAAGGACGGAAGATAACCTTTCAGGAGAACGAGGCGCGGAGGTTCCTCCTCGAGCAATGCAGCGGGAGAGAATTCGTAGCGGTGCTGCGTTGCGTTGCGCGGCGTTGCGTTGCCACTTGCCAGGTGATGGGAGTCCACCCCCGCCCCAGATGGAAGCGACGCGTATTTGATGGAGGAAGGAAGACGGAGAGATCGAGAGGCGTGGAGGTTGGAGTCTCAGGAGCAGACAGCTCGCTGTTCTCTTTTGAAACTCTCTCTGGTTGTTTTTTCCTTCTTTTTCTTTTTCTGTCTCTTTCTTCTCCTTTTCATGAGGAGGCCCCATAAAAAAAACTAATTTTACAAAAAATTAGGTTTAAATTTAATCAATCATAATCAAGCAATTTAACTAAATAAAACGGTATTTGATATTTTTGTATCATAATTGAAGGAATTAGGGCGGTTATAGATCAAGAACTTTGTCCATCAAATCCTGTGAATTACCTAAAATTTTTAATTCCCGTGACTATTTATTTTAAACATATCGAGAAAGTTGGTAGTTCAAAAATGTGCTCAATTATAGTTATGTCCCAGATTTATAACATCCTATGATTCCTATCCATTATTATTTGAAGTAGGAGATGATTAGGGAAGGCTAAAGATATTTTTGGTTTAACATAAGATTAGAAGCAACGCGCATTACGCACACCGCATGCATATCTTAAATGAACGTGAGCGATTTCTCCCCGCCCCCCCCTTTTTTAAGGTAGCAAGTCTTCTTCTTTAATTTAAAAAGGTCATTTTATAATTTCAAGTCTTTTAACACTTGGAATAATTTTCCTTGCGGTTCCCTTGACTATTTAGTCTTTTGAATGTGGAGAAAGTTGGTAGTTCAAAAGATGTGCTTAATTATAGTTATGTCCTAGATTTATAACATCCTATGATTCATATCCATTGTTATTTGATGTAGGAGATGATTGGGGGAAGGCTAAAGATACTTTTGGTTTAACATAAGATTAGAAGCAATGCGCATTACGCACGCTGCATGCATATCTTAAATGGACGTGAGAGATTTCCCCTCTCCCTTTTTTTTTTGAAGGTAGCAAGTATGTTTCTTTAATTTAAAAAGGTAGTTTTATATTTTCGACTCTTATTAAAACTTTAGCCTAGGAAAGTAAAGAACAAAAGAGGAGTTATTTACTTTCAAAGATAGTAAATAATGTTATGGTAAAATTGAAAAATTAAAAGGAGGACCGAACCTTATTGATTTGAACTCAGAACTTCTAATTTTGATACCATGTGAAATTTGTGAGACCGTTGTCAATTATTTTAAAAACGTGATTTAATATTTAATTATTCTAATATGTAGAAAAATATTATTTAAAAATCAATTTTCATGCATAAGGAGAAAACAAGAAAAATCATGCACAAGCACAAGTGGCTTCCCTTGGGCCATACGTTTGGGTTTGAGGTAGATGGATTCTGCGACCCACAGGTAAATGTTTTGGATGTGGCACTTGAGGTCCCTGTTCCATCATGTGATCCAATCTAATCATCGAACTCCCGAGTCATCATGACATGAAAAGCAGAAGACTTTTCTAAAGGGTACTTTTTGGCTGCTCTTTTTTCATTTTTTGGGAATATTAAATAGTGTGCAAGACGGACCTGCCGAGCCGAGCTAGCCGCTGGGGCGGATAATTTGCTTGCACGTTCCAATTGCGTCTCGAACCTAAACGGGTCTAAGCCAGCCTAACGAGCCATCGATCCTATGATCATGTCTATCATTTCGAACCAATTTCGATTTGCCACCTCCCAAATGTTATTCACGTTAAACTCTTTTCATCAAAGTATTGCTTTCCATTATCATATCGTCCCCAAGGCCATGGTCTTGACATAAATATCGATCTCATTGTAATTTTGGCTCCATTTTTACCCACGATAGAAGGAAACTCGTACCTACACGGTTCACGAATCGCTAAACCCCCCATAGTGCCCGACCAACAAATAGTTCCTGTGCTGCTAGAACCTTTCAATATCCCAAGTGGTATTGATCCAAACGCTGATGCGATTACCATGTTGGGGCAATAGGGCATTATACCGGAAAATTCCACCACGTTCGAAATTGGGCCTAAATTGTCTGGTTTGATTTCAAGAAAATGACTAATGCCTCCCGATGTTAATGTCCGTCTCGTCGAGTGACATCGAAAGAGGTGCGATACTGAACTGTCATTGTCAGTCTCTTATGCTTCCATTGTGCCCTCTCCTCCTCTTGCTGCAATACTGTACAAGAACGAGCAACGGTAGTTGACTGAAATGTCTTCCATCCTTTTCCCCTTGGAATAACATTCCATTGCAGCCTCGACAAATGGGCTAATCAAGTACCCACGAAGATAGAGAAGCCTTCATTCCTTCCCGTCTTTTTGGTACAAACATATTCCACCTAGCTCATCTGTCATTATTAGAAAAGGTTTGCGATGAAGACACTTTCTTCATTTATGCACCTCGCAACAACATGTGAAAAGCAACTGAGAAGTTATTTTTCAAAATTTGTATACCTAAGTTTAGGGATCTGCAACTCATATGCTAGGAAACGTTAGGGTGCGACAACAATGCTAGCTAAAATTGCAGAAGACTCGCTAGAGTGACATTCGTCGAAAGCAACAACGGTAGCGGTCAGGAAGCCATGGCTATGGAAGTTGAAATGAAGTGGCAGCCACAGTTTTTTTTTTTTTTTCATATGCAGCCACAGTTTGACATGCATGAATCTCATTTCTATCTGGATTTGTATTCGTTTATCCTATCCAATCACATCTCCCTCCTTGTCATAGGCTGGCTTATCGCTCTCTGTATTTGCTCTTGGGATTCTTCCCTAATAATCCTCTCTAGCATATTGACCAAGAAACCCAACATTCCAGGGATCCAAACAACTGGTAAGCCTCGAATTACAAATCCAACGTTGTCGTGCTCCGAAGGGTGGTTAAAGACTATAGTCTTGGGATAACTATCATGATGTCTGGGGATAACTATGTTGATGAATGGACTTTTCAGAAATGCATCAATTGTGACATGGACAGTCGCTCAAAGTTACGCATCCAAAAAAAACAGGCTTCACATACTTGAGTGAGCTATATACTGGTTAAGCAATCGCAGTTACAGGCCCCAAATGTACATGTACTAGTCAAGAGTCACCATTTCTTTGCGGGGTAGCTATTAAAACATTGTTGCCAAACCACAGGCTCCGAATCAAAAGATGATACATAAGCTACATCTCGATTGTTCCAGTCCACGAGGTGAATACAAACTATCTTAAACCTCAGCCCTATGATGACACAAGTGACTTAATGTCAGTCGCAGGAATCACATCTTCCCTGGTGTGGGTTTTTGAAAATCTATTCTCCCACTATGGAGCTGTTCCTTTCTCACCAAGCAAACCATAAATTTGTGCTCCACCACGATGGTGAAGTAAAAACTACGGCCAAATATGCACAAAGAACAGGAGAAGCATGTGGCCTACTATTAACTGCAGGTGGCATTCGGAATGAAACTCAACAAATAGCCATTAACACTTTAACACTACTCCACTGCAAGATATTAGAAATTGAAGTTCAAGAAATAAACATAAATATCGACATTTACCCATGGCATTTTCATTGGAATAAATCTTTTTAGATCCTAATAATTAACAAAGCTAGTATACCAATGGATTATGAAAGAAGAACAAAATACCAATCAAGTTATTACTGTCCCGTCCTCAAGATCTGCCCATCTACATACAAAACTGAGTAGCCTTCATCGGGTGTTTCTTGCATAGTCCGGTGTCCCCGTGATGTTTGTACTTTCACCAAGAAGAGACACTGTGCAAGCAGGGGCAGTAACTTTTCGTGGATGAACTTTCAGCAACTGTCACGTGGAAAACTTGGCAATAGCTACACTAACTATCATAAAAAGAACATAGATACCCACAAGAGATAATCCCCAAAACCTATGCACCCGAAATCTGCACCATGTTATCACTAAGAGAGAGCCCATCAGACTTAGAAGCAGAAACACAAATGCAATCACGATACCCACATGGAAGTGAAGTACATAAGCTTCTGGATACACATTGGCAGTCTGCATAACCAAAGCAGTTCCAAGCCCAACAAGCATGTTGAACATTGGCCCAGCAAAACATCCAGCCATGGCCATTGCCGGTTGGCCAGCCTTAGCTATGGCCACATCAGCAACCAGGTCCCCCACCGAATTTCCCCATGCAAGCACTGTTAGCCCAAGAAGTGATGGGGGCAAATCAAGAAGTGTCCCAAGAGCAGCGAGGCAATTCAAAAGCTCTCCTGCTATGGTGGATATCCAGAACACACTCATCACAAATGCTACCAAGATTACAAACAGTTGCTCGGTTTTTGGTGGTTCTTTCTCCATGATGAAGTGAAGAATGGCGAGGGAGGAGCTTGTGAAGAGAACAATGAGCCACAGAGGAAAATGGGCATTTGGAACAAGGAAGACGATGGGATGATCTGTTGGCATGAAGGAGTTGCAAGCGTATAAAAGGGCCAATGGGCAAAAAATAATGTTGAGAGATATGTATAATCTGTTCCATTCTGAAGGTGAAGTTTGCGGAATAGTGAGCTTCAGAAGAAAAGAGACGGGAACTTTCCATGCTTTAGAAATCTGTTCACATTAGAAAAATACAAGTAAGATCAAGGTAAACAAGTCTAGATGAAAAACTCTATAGTTGGTGCCCAGTCAAGGGTTTCTTAGATGTGCAGAGGTCAGTCTCCACTTCTACTCTTATTGCTTGAGACCAGTGTCCTTCCCATCTTTGTCATCATTAATGTCATTCAGATACCTTCTTCCTCTTTGCAAATTATTAGACACGTGATTGTGTTCCAATTATATCCTAACCATCCTTTACATCAGCGTTATCCTCACTCGACGCAGTTAAATGAAAAGGAAATTGCAACTTCAATAACATTGATTGAGCTAAATGTATTCTGTTCAATAGCTTTATTCTCAACCCTCCTCTCGGAATCCTTACACATTTCCACCAGTTCCTTTAAAAATTCCTTCAGACCCTATTCCAGAGCAGTAGCACCATCTTCTACACATAACCATATGGCGGGATTTGCTTCCTTAGTCAATGGAATAAGCATTGCAGATAAATAAATTTTGCACTAAAACTAATATATTCACAGTGTCACCACAATCTAGCATAGTCCCTGAATTTAAAATAATATCAACAGTGCGTCAATGAAGAAAGTTCTCAACATACACCCTTATCACCCTGAACCCCTACAATGTCAGTATCAACAACAGTATTGCCAGAAAAGTTTACTCTGAACCCCAAATTTTGTGTCTACTTCCAAACTTCCCCGAGAAGATCCTTCTGGATTTAAGTTATATAATCAGATCTGTATTACTTGATGGCCCTTAAGAAATAAATTTATCCATTAAGGAGCAGAACTCTGAAAACAAAGTCTTGGCCCTTTAATAATATATAACCACCAAATTACTTTCTAATGAAATGTTATTACCAACTATAACAGTTATAGAACATGTCCAACTAGTTAGCTCCAAGATTCCTTGCCACAGAAAAGGTATGCATCTCATTATTAAGAGAACGTTTTCCTCTACTGCTATCAACAAAACCGTTAAAACTTCATTCCAGTCTCTAACCGTATATGAGTGACTTCCGTAACGCATTTATAGTGTTTCTCACAGAAGGAATTAGTTTTCTGAAGAAAGAAGAAAATGTCACAAATGAAGTCGACCTTTCTGAATTACCTTATTAAGAGGGCGATGCAATCCGGAAGTCACTTTGACCCTTCGCTTGCTACCATCAATACTTCCCCTCTCGCAATCAGATGCTGCCAACTCATTTGATAATTCACTGTGTCCAACCAAACCCACCTCAGCCCTGCCCTTCTCTCTCTCTGATCCCAAATCCATCCAAAATACAAAGACAACAAAGAAAACATAAAATCCAACAAATCCAAATGCCTGCCATATAAAAATCTCCCCACTCAGGTACACCCAAAACAAAAACAATGTCGCGATCATGTAAAAGAGCACATCTCTCACGAACTGTGTTGGATTTAAGGGAAAAGGTGCAGCATAAATTGCAACAAAACCAACCACAAATGCTGATACAAATGTGCCAGCAGAAAGTATAGCACCAAACCCTGTCCTATATTGTCCAGACCGGACAGCAGCGACCGAAGAGAACACATCAGGGGAACCATTTCCCAGGGCAAGAAGGGTAACCGCACCCATACTGGGGGTCAGATTCAGGTGAGAGGAGAGCTTGGTGGTGACAATAGAGAAATGGTCTTGCGCAGTTTTGATAAGGATATAGAAATGAATAAGGAGAAATAAGGATAGAAAAGGGATTGAAAGATATGGGTTTTGGTCAAAGAGACAAGAGTGGAGGGCAGAGTAGTCGACAATGCCACTGTGTTCAGCCAAGAGAGAACAAGGTTTGGCTGTGATGGATTTTACATTGCTACTGAGGGATCGCCGGGGAACTGTGGGTAAGAGAGGAATGTAAGATGAAGAGGGTGGAGGGACAATAAGAAGGAAAAAGGCGAGAGTTGAAAGGATAACGAGGAAGATTGTGCATTTCTTGATGGGCGAGAACGAGAGACAGAGACCAATCCCTCCCTGGCCATGGTTGTCAACTTCCACAAAGAGGCTTGTAGGTGACATCCAATTACTCCTCCAGTAATTATAGTAGCTTCGTTTTGTCCCTTCAGAATAATGATCAGTCAGAATATTAGGGCAGAGCAAGCAACTTGGTCAATGACCACAAAACAGACCTACTCCCTAACCAAGTGAAGGAAACACAAACACACATGTGGGTGAAGAATTATAAACTTAAAAAATATACATGAACCTGATATATACTTAACTGAAACTTACAAAACCCCGGTAAAGAAGAAGAAAAGCAATTTTTTTAAAGAAGTAACGTCATTAGAAGATGCTTACCATCATAATAACTGATATGGTGATGCCGCTGGATAACAGATGGTGAATTTCCACGTATCAAACTCAAAACACAATGGTTTGGGTCAGATTCAGTCCGGTGTGAGTTCAGATCTGAATTTTCCTACATGAACCACGTGTTACATGCACCAAACAGAATCTGATAATTATAACTATAACTAGAACAGGGATCAAGATGCACCTGACTATAAGCATCATAATCTGCTGGTACTAACTTCTTCAATCCTTCCCATGGAAAACCTCTTCGCCCAAGAACATTCCTTATATATTCATACTTCCTTTTTAGACAATCACAACGGCCATTCACGAAATCTTTCATGGAGTACAATCTGAAAACCTTGTTGAATGGATAAACCCGATCTCTCCAAGCCTCATCATTTAAAGTGAAACCAAGTTTATTTCCTTTATTTGCCTGCTCTAGCATAAGGTCAATGAAGGAAGGAGGTGTCCAGACAGCTCCTGAACAATCACTATCCCCCAGTCTTCAACCTTCTTGCTCCTGCATGCAGAAAAAGCTAAAGATAATTACAGAAACTCGTTGTGCAGAGCGGGAGGAGATGCAAAGGTTAAGACACGCCAAGCAGCTTCATGGACACTAGGATAAAGCACAAAGGCAAATCCAAATAACCACGTACTAAAGCAATCAGCTCCACGGTCACTCGAGATCGAACTAAATTAGTACCCAAAATTGCCAGCAATCATCATACCAAAAAGGGTGCAAAGTCTGAGATCAAGCCATCCCCAAAATAGCACAAAAGCAGCTCAAAGAACAACCACATTTACAGTTGATTTTGCACATACACATGCATGTCCATGTGTGGTTTGTATTTCCAATTCACAAGAAACAATCACATTGCTCTTCATTTTGTTAACTGATGAAAACACAATATCCTCATGGGTTTTTCTGTTCTCCAACAAAAACCAGGAGAGACTGCATCAAGTGCGCTCTCATTGGTTGTACATATAGTAGCGCTTGCCTGCAAATTTACAAGTGATTTTACAATTTCCATTCACTTCATTTCCTTCTTATTTCCCATCCATTTCCCTCCTAACTTAAATTACCAAAAAAGAGCATAAGAATGTACAAGATTTTGTTCCGGATTAATCTAGCACAAATAGGTTTCTATTGAGATCTACTAATAGTATGATGGGGGCGGTAGGAACTTGCACAAGTACCCAAAATCAATATGGTGAACATGAATCGCAGTTCATGAGGGAGTTAAGTGCTCCCAGTAACATTAATCTAGACTGAGATTAAACTTGAAGAACTGCTGCGTTCAGTGCAATCTAGCTGAATTCTGAGATAGCCGTATATTATCCACTTGCCAAGCACCTCACTAACTTAACACGGATCTTCTTCTGCCATCCTGTTTTATGGAAACCCTACTCCCACTAGAAAGCTTCCCCAGCTTTCATGTTTCATCGCTTCACAAGAACTTCTATCAGTGAACAGACCCATCCAAGAGAGGTTACAATTAGGCCAGAAACTACAAGCTTCCAAATATTGATTGTGAAGCACCCCTGGAGTTCGTGAGTCTCAAGCTAGTCACAGAGTTTTGATTTGGCAAGCCAGCATCTAATAATCCACTCATTTCACATAAAGAAATGATATGCACTACACACCAGGCTAAAAACTTCTGCAATACTTTTTACTTAACAACCCACTACGCTCTATTTCAGCTTTAGCTAGCACAAGCATTCTGAAAAGCTCCTCGCTGGTGGTGTAACGCCTCCTTCCCAGAAGCTGATACAGACTAAGCAGCTACATTTGTAACGCCTCCTACCCAGAAGCTAATCCAGACTAAGCTGCTACGTCCAATGTCCTCCATCATCAAGAAAGAGAACAAAGATTTTTTTTTTCCACCTTTTACACACTCTCTGATCCTAACAAGGTTCCCCCTTCCCATCTGCTGAAACTAAATAGGAAAAGAGATCGTCCCGGCAGGAAGAAATTGTGTCGATGGAGGATGATATGCACGAATTGTCGGAGACATTCATTACTTCGTAAGCATTTCTCGATACCAAACGATACCCAAAAAAGAAAAATTGCAGTCGTGCAGCAATTAATTTGAACTGGCACGGGAGCGCGAGTCAAGCTCAATCCCCTCGAATCGAACCAAACCTTCAAAACAATCAAACGCGTCCTACCCACGAGGAATCAAACAATCAGCGGAAACGCAAATCCCAAAATCCAAAACCAACGCGACAAACCATCCCCACCCTCCGAGGCTGAAGGCATCGAAAATTGCCCCCAACGTTTCATAGTCGACGAGGACGACGAGAGATCGCGAAATCTCAACACATCAGACGGCATTTACTCGAGCATGTCGCGGCCAAGCCCGACAAGAAGACGCGTACCTCGGAAGCTGGAAATCCCGCGTCACCGGAGCGCGGAACTCGCGAGGATCGCAGGTGTCGGACGAGGAAGAAGATGCTCGCGTCCTCGAGCTCCGACCGCCGGACGAGTGAATGGGAGCCGCAATTCGCAGATCGCCCGTGGAGTTGCAGAAACCAAAGCGCATGGCAGATTTTTGGAAGATGAGTGGAAAATAATGATTTTTTGTTGAAATTTATTTTGACGTGCTGATGCTGAGATAAAATAAAAGAAATTTCATTCGATCTTATTTTATATTTCATGCACATTTACGTAATTAAAAATATACTATATTCTTTGCATGCACAATTTATGTTTGGATTTTTCAATATGTTGAAGATATAAATAAGTGACCAACAAAAAAAGGTATGGTCGTGTAAATGTAATGATTTATGGATTTTTAAGAACCTTATTTATCGAAAAAAAAAAAAGACTCTTCAAGATTCGATAGGTGGTTAGTCTAATTTTTTGTGAGAGCGATGGTTATGTGCGATATCTTTTCAATAGATTGAATCGAGCAAAATTTCAAGTTATTTTATTGTACTCTCTTTTAAAATTTGGCAAGCTAAAAATCTAATGCATAAATCATTAAAATTGGATTTGGGTCGATATGTTAGATAAAACCGCTTATAATCCAAATACAGCTTCCGTCGAGCTTTCATCAAGTTTTCCTTGATTACACACGTCGAATCTTTAACGGCATCATCGAACAAAAACTTGACAGGGCCATATTTGGGTATCCACTAAATGTTGATGCTTTTTTTATGATAAAACAAAAGGTTTGGGTCAGAATTGGGATCTAACCTAAAATTTGTGCTTTTTTATAAGACAAAATAAGGTTTTGGCAAAAATTAGGACCCGAGATCAAGTTTGTGCTTTTTAAAGAGATTAGACCCATTTCTTTTACACATAGCAAACCTTCTATTTAGTTTCAAGGTCAACTTTTTTTTCCCAAAAGCTTCATGAAAAACCTACCTCCACTAATTTTTTAAGATGAGCTATATATAATTTTTAAGATATTGACAAACAAATTCATAAATAGGCAATTAAAAATCTCCTTAAATCCCTGTTATTAAAAAATTCAAATGTGATCTATTGCCGACATCTCAACTACGACATATAAAATGCAGAGAAGTCAAAGGTCGACTAAAAGTTTGACCATGGTTTTGATCTTTCCCATGCATCAAGAACCTTTGATGAATCATATGACGGATTGCAAGCATGGAAAACACCGGTTTCCGAAACGTTTTCCGGACCAAACCGAAGCGTTGTGCCCGATTAGGGATCAACGATGCAGAGCCGGAAGGAGCGGTTGCCGATCGACCAGATGAAGCGCGGTGCACGAGAGTAGCCGACAGGATGAGCCATGGCGGCAACTCAAAACACGAAGGATGTTAGATTGGATCTGGGGTAGGGTCCTCACCGGAAGAGTTTAAGACCCGATCGACAATCACGAGCATCGAGCAAGGTTAGGGCGGCTTGCAAGCACCACCGGGAAGATCACTTTTCAACGGAATACGCTGTGGTTCGTGTGCAAAATATGTTGCAAACAAAACAAAACGCTTGACCACTCAACCAATTCTATGTGTACGCATCTAATTGTGCTTACACATCAAGAATTAACCGTAGTCCGAATTGCAACTACGGTAATGGTGTCGTGGTAAATATGAGTTGCGAATTCACTTGCGGTAATAGTTCATTTCATTGCTTTCGCAAATTGAGTTCCAAATTTCTGCCATCACCAATGTGGCCACATTGACATTTTCTAAACGACCCATATAATTTCTTGACATGAGGTTTCAATGCACTTTTCATCTATTCTTGAGTACTTGACTGCAAATTTCAGTCTAAGGAAGGACATAATAGAAAAGGACCCAAATTTGCTCCAAGCATCTAAATTGAAACCAGGGCATTCATGTGCACCCCTGTCATTTCCAAGGAGAGAGAGAGAGAGAGAGAGAGAGAGAGAGAGAGAGAGAGAGAGAGAGTCTCATTCATCTAGACAGATCTCTACATCATCTGATAGATTAGATACTACCATATTAGATTAGATTACATGATTGAAGGTCCTGGTCCTAGATTCTACAATTATTATACATACCTAAGAATCATATTATATGATACTTCTAAATAACCCCTTCCCTTCATCGGATTCTGCACTACTGCTTCTACTACTATACTACAGCAATGATGATAGACTAGGAAATTAATAACTTTCACAAGATTATTAAAACATAAGGAGAAAAATTAAAGAAAAAGGGAGCCAACTCAAACTCAGGCCAAGAGCCAGAAGTTCTTCTGCCATCTGGTGCTGATGAGATAGCCACCCATACCTCTGCTCTGCTTCCTCACTCCTATGGTCAAGCAATCTGCTCCGTTGATGCATTGCTCCACGAACTCCTCAGATCCGCTGGCCCCGCACAGGCTGCCCACAAGAAGTTCATTAAAATATGACTTCTTTAAAACAATGGGGGATTTCCCAACAACATCAAAACAATCAAAAGGTCAAAGATCTTGATGTGCGGGATCGTGGGAGTGGCAAAAAACATAATTTTGCAGACTTAAAGAACGGAGAGAAAAAAGATGTGCAAAGTTCGTTGTTTTTTTGGAGTCTTTGAGATTGGAGAGATGTTATGACCCACCAGCGGATGAGAGAGGACGGTTTCTTCTGGCCCAGCACGAGCACTGAGACCTCCAGCTTCTTCACTTGGCTCATCACAGTGGCCATCCTTGGACCTTGTATCACTAGTGCCTCCACTGCCACCTGTGTGTGATTTAACATTGACCCATCAAAATGGAATCCAGTTTGACAATAGTAATGTCTAATCCCCCTCTCTCTTTCTCTCTCTCTGAGCAGAGACCAGGGGGATAATTTCAAAAAAGAAATGGAAATTATGAAAGGCATCTGAAAAGGAAAAGAAAGACAGACCAAGTTCTGAAAAAGAAAAGGAAAAAGACGACCAAAGAACGAATGGAGCTCACATAATAGTGTCCCCCTGCATGCAACCTCCAAAGGAGAGAAAGCAGGAATACTACACCAGAGCCCAGAGGCATTGGATCTGACAACATAATTAAGGAAAAACACGTCTTCATCTGGCTAAGTAATGAGCTAACTGTAAACCCAGTCTGCATATTTAGCTCATTTGCAGACGATCTTATAGATCTGAGGCCTAATCTGTCACTCGTCACCGACGGATAAAAATGTGGCGGGTTGGGGTCAATGGAACATGACCGAAACACGAACATTGGTTAATGCATTTCGTTATGACCGGGAAAAAAGCAGAGCAAAACAAACCAAGCAACATTAATCGACACACTCACCTCTGGTTTAGAAGCCTTGCAGAGAGACCCGAGAGAATTGGCGAGATATGGAGAAGTTGAAGAAGAAGAAGAAGAAGAAGAAGAATCAGAGGAAGGAGGAGAAGCAGATCTCTCGGCTCCAGGAGGGATGATGTGAAGCAGGGTGAGCAAGTCGCCCTTGTTGGCCACATGAGTGAGGGCCCACATCATTGCATGCTTGGAGCGAGAGCTCTCGTCCACCACCACCATCACCCTCTTCCTCATCACCGACCCGCCATTCTCCCCGCCATACATTTGCTCGAGCCCTTCCATTGGGTCCAAGCTTCTCCCGGCGTTGGCAGAGTTGTACCTCTTGCTTCCACTTCCCACACCAACAGCCCACCTCTTCGAGGTAGAGCTCCAAGCTTCTTTCCCGCTGAGCTGTCTCAGAAGTGAACCAGAGCCTGGCATTTTGTCGCCAATGTGGGTGCTAGTAATAGAGAGAGAGAGTTCCTGTGCAGGAGTTTGTGAACCCAAGGTGGTCACTGGCCAGTGAGTTTGCTGCAGCAGAGAGAGAAGGGGGTTTGTTTCTTGCTAGATATACTGTGATTGTGTGTGAGCAGAGCAGTGATGATGTTTGATATGCTTTAAAACTTTGATTTTTTTTATAAAACTTCACAAAATCCACTATACACAATAATAAAATGTGACAAAAAATACATTATAAACGATAAATATATGTTTAAATAAGTGGGCTCGTACCTTAAATATTCGCTACAAATTTCTGGCGTTCGTTAATAAATTAATTTCATAAATATTCCTAGCACTGCTCTTATGAAGACCAGATGGTGAGACAAATTTCAGATATTGATACCCCCATAACGAATTTTTCGGTATCACATAATTCTAACTTTGATATGGTTTCAACTGGTCTTGGTATCGTCTTTTTTACGTGTACGACGTAAAGTTTCGTGGACTTTTCCGCAAGATTTAAGGAGGGTTTTCTGCAGTAAATTAGGATCACAAGACACACTATGCATTTGATTACTAAACCGGGCCTCTCCTCATCTAAGATCACAAGAACACGAGGCACCTTTCTGCAATTGCCCCGCTGTCCCTTCTTGATAAAACCAAATGAATTGCGAGTAAGTTAGAAGTTAGGCACGGGGGGGCGTTTGATGAACAATGATGAATGATGTAGTCGAAGGCCATGATTCTTCATGCCTTTGCTGCAGGTTAAAAGGGTTCACGGGAATCCCTGGCTTCTTGCGTCTTTTCTTTTCGCAGAGATAAAAATGAGGGGTTTTGGTCAGTTTTGTGATGATGAAAGGGAGGATTCTTTTGTACCTTCTTCTTCACACATGCTCCAGATCCTCCTCCCCCTCCCTGTTTTATCTTTCGTTTCTTGCCCAAGATTTGCTTTTTGGACCCTCTGACAAATCACCCCCACCCCCAAAAGAAAGAGTTTCTCCAAGGCATACTCATCTGTAGTTTTCTTTATGTGTTTTTCTTTTTTGCATTTCAAATTTTGCTGGATTGATGATATACGGTATTTCGTGCCCGTCTTGGAAGCGCACTGCTAGCCACAGGAACGTCATTAACGGTTCATTCATGTCATGCCTGGTCCATCCATCCATCCTCCTTCAATCTTAGCTCATTCAATCTGCTGCTCTAATTACGCGAGCAGCACCTTTTCGGATGACCCACGAGGCGGGGACTACAACACGTTCGGCATCTCCCAAGGGCTATGGCTCGGTTAAAGACAAGAATTGAGTTCTCCGACCCCACTTTCGTTTAGGTTCATTAGGATTCGTATTAGTTAAAACTTCCAGTTATCTCGGTAAGAATCCAATAGTTCTAATTCCGTCTCAGCAAATTCAAGGGATCGTGATGTCTCCTTATGGTATCGCAGGTCTCTTTATCAGTTCCTATGTACGGCGCACAATCTTTGTGGAATGTCGGTAGTGGCTATGACCGATCCGACAGAAAAGAAGGAATGGTGTGTATTAGGAATAATAACACAAACAGTCCCCGAACTTCGGCTCAATGTGCAATTTGGTCCCTAAACTTTTAATTTGTTCAATGTAATCCCTGAACTTTAATCCTATGTTCAATGTGATCCCTGAACTTTCAATTTGTTCAACTTGATCCCTGAACTTTTAGTAAATGTTCAATTTAGTCCTTGAACTATACGAAAATATACAATATAGTCCATGAACTTGAATTAATGGAAGGATTACATTGAACATTTTTATAAAGTTCAGGGACTATATTGAACATGTACCAAAAGTTCAGGGACCACATTGAACAAATTGAAAGTTCATGGACCATATTGAATATTGGGTTAAAGTTCAGGGATCATATTGAATATTGGGTTAAAGTTCAGGGATTACATTGAACAAATTAAAAGTTAAGGGATCAAGTTGCACATTGAGCCAAAGTTCATGGACTATTTATGTCATTTTCCTTGTGTATTATCGTCGCATCTTCCTACGATTTCAAAGGCTCTAATCGGCCCCTCTTCTCTAGGGTTTCACTTCAATGGGGGCATGAAATATTCACCAACTTTAAAACTGGTGTGGGACCAAGAACTCCAAACAAAGGTTGTAGTGCTAAGCAGCTTCACCACAGCCACATCTCAAGAAGATGAACAGAGAGGATGGCAGGGCTGCAACATTCATGCACTAAAGGGGTTGGTGGGATCCAACTGCATCTTCAGGGTAATCAATATTTAAATTAACTCTCCTGAATCCCAAATTTTTTAATAATTTCCCACACTTTCTTCAGACCCCTGATAAAAGAAAGAGAGAAAGAAGGAAAAAAAGCCCCAAAGATTTTAAATTTCTGAAATTGCCCTTTTATGGGGCTGGCATTGAAAAGGAAGGGAAGGGTGGGAAACCATGGTCACTTCATTCCACTGTTGTTTTTGCCAAATAGTTACGTACTGATCTGGCTTTCCTCTTCAGTCACTCGTCACTCACTCACTCACTGATCTCGTCAGGACAAGCCCCTGGCCTCAAGTAAAGAATCCCGACCGGACAGCCTATAATTTACATTAGATTTCATTCCCCCCAAAAAGAAAAATCGGAAAATTTTAAAAAATGGGATACGGAAAATACGCGTATGGAGACGCAAGAAATACGTATAAATTAATTAGATTAATTAGTGGAGAATTAATTAGAGCGGGGGAAAATGTCCGGGAGTGGGGCCCAGCTCGTGAATTTGGAGGGCGGGGGCGGGGGGGTGTTGATTCGTGTCAGGAAGTCGTACTTGCAAATAATTGCTCCCCAGTAGTCACTCGCTCGATGCGGACGGATCTGCTGCTCGTGCCGCGTGGGGCGTGCGAAATTACTCGCATGCCCTTCCCGTTTTCGAAGGAATTTTTTTTTTTTTTTTGTGTTGTGTCCCGAAATCATTTTGTTTGGCGATTAGTTCACAAAATTCTATGGCTTATACCGCTTCGGGAAATTTGCACAAATAGTCCATGAATCTTGACTAAATATAAAATGCGATCTCTGAAACTTTAATTTATTCAATATAGTCTAGTTTCTAAATTGACTGGAGTATCTTCATAATATGTACCAAAAATTTAGAGATCACGTTGAATAAATTAAAAATTTAATGACTACATTGCTTATTGAATTAAAGGTCGGGGACTGCATTAAAGAAAAATCAAAAGTTCAAGGATCACGTTACAATTGGACCAAAGTTCAGAGATTATTCGTGTCGTTTTCCCTTTTATTTTATACGAGGGTCTTGTTACAAAATGTCTCTAGAGCGCCGATTAATTTAATTAAAGGTGGAAATAACACTTTTTCGAGATATTTTGAAATAAAGGAATGGCGTGTTTCGATAGAATCGCTTAACTACTTCAAACGATGAGTTTTTAAATTCTTAAACCATATTTGACACAATGCGGTAGCCACATGAAATTTACTTCATGCGACATGGCTGTTTTGTAAAACTTATGCGCTCAAGCGAAACATGAGCACCAACTTACACTTATCGTATCTTTCTCGTCTAGTCACAACGCCCCTGTCTAATAATACTCGAGTGCAATGCAAATATGCTGCGCATCAAATTCATCGTGATATGAATCTCATGTGAATCCATCTCGATCCCAATGCCCGTATATATTGGGTGCATGGGCAAAAGCTAATTGGGGAATCCCCGTTGCGTTAGGAAAAAATTCAAGATGTGTGATTCGTGAATGGTGGTCAATTTTAATGACGTTCTAATAAAGGATTTTGCCATCATGCGTGAGACATAAATCGGAGACTTTAAAACTCAAGGGAACTTAACGGTATATAAGTGGCTCGAAATCTTCTTCGTTAGAATATGTTTTGGGTTTGAACCCGCAATCAAAACTCGTCCCAAATCAAAGCATGTTAAAGTGCAACCCTTAACACGTTGGTAGCCGGATTTTGTGTCCGTAAGGAAATGAATTATTCAAAAAGTCATAAACCTATTATACTTTTGCCAATTTGCCAATTCGGTCGTAAATATTTTAATTTTGCCAATTCAGTCGTAAATATTTTAATTTTGCCAATTGAGTCGTAAACATTTTCACGTTTTATCAATTGCTAATTTTGCCTGGAAATCACTGACATGGACGCCGGATGTCCTACGTGACACGATCGGTACTAACGTGGATAATTTTATATTATATTTTGATTTTTTTTTCAATTTATTTATTTATTTTCTTCCTCCTCCTCTAGTCGGTCGCCGAGCCTCGCTGACCGGCCGGCGGCGAGGCGCCAGCCTATGTCAGCCTTTGGCAACGCTCGCCCCCGCCAACCACTCCTCGCCGGTGGCTAGGCGAGGCTCGCCACCCTCACCATCCGTCATCACTAGGCTGGTTCACTAGGCTGGTTAACACAGGGCGCGAAGGATACGATGAAATATATATATACACATTTATAGCGATTTTTTAAAAAAGAATGAATAGAGAAGGGTGGGGGGAGGAAAGGAGGGATGCGTGAAGGGGTTGGAGTCACGGCGTCACGGTATCATATCGTCTCCAATGTCCTTTGCCAGGAAATCATCGGAGTTCAGTTCATGGGAAGTTGTGTTGTTGTTGTTGGTGCTGGGCCGGGGAAGATGCAGGACGATTTAGCATTCGGCAGCATCGCAGTGCAGTCGCAGCTGCAGCATCTTCACCTTCCCATTTCTCGTGAATCGTCGAGCATGGCGACAACAGTAATATCCCTCTCTCTCTCTCTCTCTCGTGGCCGGTGGCTTTCATTTACTTTTGGAGCTCGGTCCCCGCGTCTTAAAACCTTCCTGCTTGGTTTTCATTATTTTCAGTTGGGGTGGAGGGCAATTCGGGGATCTCCGATTTATAACGCGATCGTGACCACCCGGCTCGAGCGCCATAGGAGGTCAACGGTGTTCGAGCTCATGTACATCGTGTTCGTGCCGTATATCATATCCAGTTGCGATCTATGGCGTCGCAGATTGTCGCTTGACTTACTAGACACGTCAAATTTGTGAGTTGGGGGGGGGGGGGGGTTGTGTGCTGTCGTTTCAGAGAAGCTATTCAATTCTTCGGCTCACATCCGAGTTCGATCGATCAAGTCGGACTCA